ATTATTCACCTTTGAGAGTTGTGTAAAGCTTGATTTTGAAGCTATGCAAAGGGAGAGTCGTAAGCGGAGAGTCGGCATCGTAACCCCACCCGATGCTCGAGTCCTTATGACCCCGAGAACGCCAAGTCCAAAGCGATACCGAAAGGAAAATGGCGATAACTTGGAAATGGGTTAGTTCGCGATAAAATTTGGGAGAGGTGGACATAGTATAACGGAACTTGCTGGAGGAATTCTAACATAACACACCATTGGGTTTGAATAGAATGGAAAAGGTACCCCTGCATTCTATAATTTTTCCAATGCAGTGGGTTAATGGTTTTAATCACTACAAATCTTTCATTTAGCTAGATATGACGAAAATACAACTCTTAAGCACTAACGTAAGCGGGAATATACAGAAGGTAGAAGCGTCAACCAGATAATCAGTTGTGCCTTTTTGTGTAAAGTAGATGCATTTGAACAAAGGACACTAATGATCAGTTTTGTTTCAGAATGAATGTCGGTTTGATTTAAGTGGGAGACCTTCTGTTCTGATTTCCTGTTGTGATTAATTGCACAATTGATCATGTCAATAAGAAAGCGATCTACGTAGTAATGAACATTACTTGAGCAGTAGAGAAAATAAGGCCTGAAAAAATTCAGGCCTGTACGGGATATGAACGCATGACCTTTGATACTGGTGCAGTTCTCTATTTTTGCTAATGCTGAAGTAGTGTTCATTACTACAAAGATGGCTTTCATATTCATTTCTTTATCTGCAGTTCACATATATGATTTTCATATATCCACAGTCATAAGTGATTATGTCAGGTCCCCTGAGGAAACATTTTGTAAGCTCTGATTGGCTATCTTAGCCTCCCTTAGTCCTTGGGATTGAAATTTCCTTTCACAAGATTTACACCTCACTATCCCATTGCTTTAGAAACCAAATAATTCGCCAGAAACCTGACACCTGATTTATTTCTCGGTGGCTACTAATTTCTTCAGAAAAAATTTTCCTTATAATTAAAAAAATTCATTTTTCTTTCAAGGTGAAGCCAACCTAAGGGCAAGACAAGATGAAAAACATTATAAGGTGTAGTAATTATCATTTATTTTTCTTTTTTATGTAAAGAAAATAAAATCTGTATTCAATCTGCAGATGCTCAATTGAAAGGGGAGTTATTAATGAAGAGATGGTGTAAAAGTAGATGATGGATAACAAGCTTTTTTTTTGCACTAGTAGGGGATTCATTATTCTTCCAAGTTATTTCAATGCTGTTTTTTTTTGCTACATATTTCATTTTTGTGCTGCATACTTGGACCCAAGCAGCAATTTAACCCTTTGCACCTAAAACGTTGTTAAATAATGAGGAGCTTCTTTAGCCGGTGATCATTTCTTGTGACCTTTGCATGTGATGGGGTTGATATTGTAGGGAGAAATTAGATGCTAATCACTCTAAGGGATTAGATAGTAAAACTGAATTGTCTTTAGAGTAAGTCATTCAAAAAGTTATGTGTAGGTCTTAAAGTGGGTGAGATATCAGTTCCAAAAGAAGTACAGCTGTTGGGTGCTATTTACTCTAATAGTAGAGAGGTAAGAAACCTCTTTGATGAGATGCAAATTGGCTTTCCAGCTAGTTATTTATGTCCTGCTCCATTCAGCTTTTCATTGAATTTGTTGCACAGGTAATAGGTGCTGCTTTCAGTATGTGTACTATTACTTACATGTAAGTATTTCTATTTAGCTAATTCACAGTAATCCTGAGTCAGCTTTCTTTTGACAATTAAATATGAGTAGCTGCTAACAAGGCTTCAAATCGCTCAGCCCTGGATGGAGAGAGGTACTGTGAGCTTGTCTGTCCTCCTCCTTTCTAAACCCAGAGTGTTTGCTGAAATGATCTGCAAATAAAGCAGGGTGCATAGGATGTTGATGGGTTTTTACAGAGAATGACCAATAAAGGACTTACCATTGTATTGTCGTGAACTGACAGGTGTTTAATGACAGCATCCATGGACACATTGAAGTTCACCCGTTGTGTGTAGAAATTATTGATACACCACAGTTCCAACGTCTTAGAGATATCAAACAATTAGGCAAGTCTTCTCTTCTCTTTGGTTTCATTTTTTCCTTTGGTGAAATGTTCTTTAAATCAGTTAACTTCATCATTTTCATATCATAAAATGAAGATCAAGCTGGTTTGCAGAATTTTAAGTCAAGAAAGAGATGTCTTTGTCATTCAACTGTAGAGGTGAAAGGAATAAAGAAACAAACACCCAGTATTTGGTTTTCAAAATTTGCTTGCATTAGCTTGCATAGATGTATGTTGTAAATACTGTCTTTCTTGTCTTAAAACTTAGGAGGTTGTTATCGTGTATTCCCAGGGGCTTCACATAACAGATTTGAACATTGTATCGGGTAAGTCTTTCAGAGAATTACGGTCCGGTCGGTACCAAGTACTTTCGCTACTAGTCCGATCGCCATCAACCACAGTTTCATCAGCTGTCACGACGAAGTCCGTTCGCTACTACTGGGAATTATCGAGAGAAACATCGATGAAACTCAGTAAAAAGCCACAAAGATTTATAGAAGAAAATTTCTGTAGCATTTTAGAGTATATCTTGAGCGATCACTTCACGATACGATCGATCAAGACAAAGAATCATTCGCAATCAAACACCGTGCTCGCAAGCTTCCATACCAAGTCTGTTTCTACCAACTTGACTCTCATGAACAGACTTCTTCACAGCCAGACCAGTATAAGAATGTATGTTTAGGAGTTGTCGCCTAGCTGTATCATTTCTAACTTGCCAAAGATCAGAATACCTTACATTTAGAAATCGAGCAACGCGCAACACCATATTGTTTTCGTGAAATCAACAACTTCCATGACACGTCGCTCACGTTTTCTTCATTTAAAAAACATTCTTTTCACAAGTCTTAAACGAAAAGATTAAGTACGTTAACCTGAAACAAATTGGAAACAGTTGTCTCATGTAAACGTCAAAACCGAAACGAATGAGCCGAAGAATCGATCTGGACCTAGATTTACTTAATTTAAGCTCAGAGTCCGTTCGCTACCAATAAAGTTTTAGTCTCGAAAAATTTGGTGGTAATATTACAATTTTATCACCTCTATAAAGCCAAATCATTGTGAAAATGTTTGATTAGGAGTTGCCGCTTAGCATAATAATTTCTGACGTGCCAATGATCAGAATACCTTACATTTAGAAATCGATCGACACGCGACGCCATATCGTTTTCGTGAAATCAACAACCTCCACGACAAGTCGTTTGCTCACGTTTTCTTCATTCAAATTAAATTTTTTTCTCAAAAATCTGAAACGAATTGATGAAACACCTTAACCTGAAATAAATTGGAAACATTTGTCTCATTTAAAAAAAAAAAAAAACTAAACGAATGAGATTTTTGTGATGGAAGTTGTTGATTTCACGAAAACAATATGGCGTCGCGCGTTGCTCGATTTCTAAATGTAAGGTATTCTGATCTTTGGTAAGTTAGAAATGATAAAGTTAAGCGACAACTCCTAAACATTCATTCTTATACTGGTTTGGCTATGTAGAAGTTTGTTCATGAGAGCCAAGTTGGTAGAAACGGACTTGGTATGGAAGCTAGCGAGCACGGTGTTTGGTTGCAAATGAATCTTTGTCTTGATTGATCGTATCATGAAGTGATCGCTCAAGATATACTCTAAAATGCTACAGAGATTTTCATCTATAAATCTTTGTGGCTTTTTACCAAGTTTCATCAATGTTTTCTGTTGGTAATTCCCAATGGTAGCGAGCGGACTTCGTCATGGTAGTGATCAGACTGTGGTTGGTGGCGATCAGACTAGTAGCGAAAGTACGTGGTGGGACCGGACTGATAACCCTTTAGATGTGAAGTGAACACTTTCTTAAAATATAATTTTATAAATTTGCGAAATTACACCTTAGAAAACATATAAAGCACTAATAAACCAAGAATAAACAAGGATGGGAAAAATATTAAAACTGATTGCAAATGACAGTAATTGTATATGCCAAAAATTGTGATGTAGCTCCTTTAATGTCCATTATTTTGACGTTGACAATTAATCTTTGATGTAGAACTTGCTACTTGGCTGGAAGACTTGTGAAGAGTTTGCGTAAAAGACAACCAGAACTGGGAATCACAGATGAGGATATGCTCTGTGTAAGGATTGCTGGGCTCTGTCATGATCTAGGTTTGTCCCCATCATCATCTTCCAGAAGAAATTTGGTGACCATCATACTTATTCATCTTTATGTGAGAAACAAGTACAGGCCATGAATAGAACTATTGCCTCTGTAAATACTGTAGTTTTAATAGTTTCAAGTCAAGATGATTTCAGAAAAGTTTGAATTAACCCTTTAACTCTCAGAAGTGATTAACATGTAGCTTCTCCCTGTAATATACAGACATTATCCAGCAAACAGGTAGTGAGAATACTCAAACTTATCTGGTAGTTGTTATCTTGATCTAGCACCAAGTTCTTATAACTAATTTACAGGGAAATGTATGGCAGCTAGAGGGGTCAATGTGGTAAGGGTTAATGTGCAAAGAATTAAAGTAAAAGCAAATCAGACTAGAAGTTTAATTTTATTTTAACTGGAATTCAATTGAGACTACAAAATAATAAGTACAATAATTACTTTCACATAAGAGAGGAAAATGTGTAACTTCAAATTGCATGAAATTCACATTTAGAGGAAAAAAAGTATAACAGCATCATTTTACTAAGTGGGATGCAAACAATAGTCAGGTATCATTCAAGCTGTTATAATAAAATTGGAATTTATTTAGATACAAAGGTATTTCTAGATCTCTGTGATTGAATATTTTAGCTTTTAAATATGAAATTGTAGGATTCTAACACTGTCTCTGTAGAGAGAAGGGGGTTTTTCAACCTCTATTTGGAGATGAGATGGCTGCTTGTGCTTCTTGATTGATGTTGATTCTTGTAAATGATTAGGTATAATTTGTTGCAAACAAATATATTTGAAAAATTATAGTTAAGAACAATCAACTTAGTGTTTCATATCCATGCTGATGCTGAACAACATTGCTTTGGGAAACAACTATTCTTGTATAATTTTGAAGTTTTGTTTAACTTTTGTGCTTTGTTTGTTCATTTTGATAGGTCATGGACCATTTTCACATACATTTGGGGCATTATTTATACCAACTGCTAGGCCTGATGCACACTGGAAGGTAAATGTACTATAACTTCATGTATTTTTACTGATTATGTGTAGTTTTACTCACCTTGCACTGAGCTCATCAGATACCACACAAGTCCTAATAATACTCAGTTATACTATTCATCAAAATGTCCAATAAGAATATATATGCAATGAGAAAGTTCATTTAAAACTGTACAGATGCATGTAACAAGTACCAAACCTGTTGGCTAAAATAAAAGATACATGAACTGACTAATGTTATTTCTTTTTTAGATGATTTCTAGTGATCTCCAGCTTAACATGAATCTTGTTTTCAATTTTGCAACATGTATGACATACTTCAAGCCAGGTGGTACTTGGTTATGGACAAATTTGCTTTTCAAATCCTGTAAAATAGTTTTTCATCAAGAAAATACTAAATATTGCTGTTAAGGTGTGACATTTTTGTGCAATTATGAGAAAAGGTCAGGATAAATGTCAACTAATGAAAAGTTTTTACACAATACAATCCTTGTGTGTACAGAAGTATGCTCAAGCATTTAAAAATAAAGTCCTGTTACCAATCAATCAAAACTGTGATGAAATTTGGGAAAGAAGCTAAGATCGGTGATACATTTTTATTAAAAAAACAACAGTTAACAGGACAAAATGCACTACAACAGCATGCACACATAACACTGTCCTAATAGTGCTCAAATTAGGCTGGTGATAACCAATCACGTTTAATAATTTTGTTATAATTTTAATAAATATGTTATTTCTGTACATAGCATGAAGATGCTTCTGTTAGAATGTTTGATCACATGATGATGAGAAACAAGTTGTCTCCAAGTTTTGAAAAGTATAACTTAACTGAAAGAGATGTGACCTTTATTAAAGAACTAATCGCTGCAACAGTGCTGGAGACAACTATATGCACCTCTGAGGTATGATTCAGCATTCTGTGTGAGAAGGAGGTGGGGGAACAGGGGCAGGGTGATTATGAAAGTAAGGTTTTCCCTCAGAAAAATGCATCCAAAGTTTTACTTCCCATACTGGAACCAAAAACAATTTTTTTTCTTCTGCACCTTGCTAAAGGCACTTGCAAATGTGACAATTAAGGGATGCTTGACTGCATCCACGGGCACGTGTTTTATTACTGTCGGTAGGATTGAATTCACCAGCAAAAAATCTAAAGAGCTGTGAGATCAGCTGTTTCAAAACAACTGTAGTTGTAACCTAAGGATTAAATCTCCATTTTTATACTTTCTTTCATCCACGCTAAGACAGAGTTGTGGCATTTTAAAAATCACTCAGTTTGAAGAGCGTGAAAAGTATTGTGATCTGTGGATTACATGTATCTATCTGTATTAGTGTGGATGACAGGCCTAATTACGGAAAGTTGGTATGCGGACTTGGCCTAAATATTGCCTGGCGAAATAATCAGTGAAATCATGAATATTCATACTTAACCCTTTCACTCCTAAGATCTCGCTAGTAATTCTTCTTACTGTCTGCTATACAATTCTTATGATGTTAGTTCTGAGGTTCGAGCATTGTATCAATAATCCCCTCGTTGATATTTTTCTTTATTCTTATTACTTGTCTGCTTGATATTGTATCGATATTGTAAACAGAAAGTCTTTGTTGATCACTCTCTAAGGGTTAGTAGTCCGCTTTTTGTTACTGATACCTCACACCTAAAGCTCTGTACAATGTATGAAATGTCTGATTATTATATTAAAATCACATTAAAGGACTGGCCATATAAAGGAAGAGGACCAGAGAAAAGCTACTTATATGAGGTAAAAATACCGGGGTATATTGTAGTATCATGTGATATTCTGTCTGAAGATGTTGCAGTCCAATGGCTGACCCGTTTAACTTCGGATCTAAAGGTCTGTGTTCATCAAGCTCTGTTCAGATCTTCCTTGTTGTGTTCGTGCACAAGACTGTTTGTTTACTCTTATTGAAGTTCTCCACCCAGGGAATTGTATGGGAATCCTAAATTTAAAAAAAAAGTACATCGTGGGTAGACTACAAGCTGTCTCTCCTTTTCGGCGAAATCCGTTGCGCAAGTCAAAACAAAGAAATTGCCAAAAAAAATTGACATGACGTGTTAAACATCTACATCGTAAATGTTATACACATGCGAGGCACATAACAGTGTAATCTCATGTTGTACTTATGAGACTTACCTGTGTTTCAGATTGTTGCCAACAAACGAACAGGCATTGATGTGGACAAGTTCGACTATTTTTCACGAGACTGTCATTGCTTAGGAATCAACAACAGTTTTGATCATAAGTATTACACCTGCTTTTGTTGTTAGTCAAAGGAAGGAAGAAAGACAGTGAACTAGGGATAGTCAACTTAAGCCTACAGCTTCCCTGTTTTAATTCAAATTAATTTAAAATTTTTTTGTAATAGCTCCGAGAAAGAGGAGTGTGGTTTTAATTTATTTCACTCTGTGATGGAAAATTCGTGCCACTTTCTCAACCATTCGGGTAGAAAACTGAAACCCTTTGCGACTTGTCTGCACTCTCATGTTTTCCCGCTGTCCACTTTTTTCTTTTTGTCTTTTTACTTCGAGTTCCAGACGTCATTATGTAATATTATCCTTGGTTCTGTGACTACCTCTCTTTGGTTTTCCTAGTGTCAGTTCAAGTGCACTCAACGTTACAATCACTGAAATTATTTCTTGTTCACAGGCGTTACATGAAGTTTGCCAGAGTCATCAATGTCAGCGGCAAACTGCAAATATGTGTACGCGATAAAGAAGCAGGCAACGTCTATGATATGTTTCACACCAGAAACAGTTTATTTCGAAGAGCTTACCAACACAAGACGTCAAATATCATTGAAAGAATGTAAGTTACCGTATGTGGTTTCGTGGTTCTGTAAATAAGCAAAGCGTTTCAAGTTGTACGCGTAAAATAAGCGTTATAGTTGGTGTTTGACTGGTTGATCTTTTTGGAGATTACACCGTCAACACGTTGTTTGAAAATTCTTTTTAGTGTTTCGCGCTAATGATTTCTACCGGGAATGTGGCAGAACTTTGGTAAGAAATATGATATAGAAGATTTCGGTAAAAGATTCGTAGATGAACTGTTGCGAATAACAACTGACAGTTGATTCGCATTTGACATAAAAGAAACCTAAAAATTCATCGTGCTACAAAGTACATATCTGTTGGTTGGATGTGATCTTTTGCGTCGCTTCTTTAAATTGTTAGAGACAATCGAATGGCAAGATTTAATTTTCAAATAATTTAAGTGTGTTTTTGTAATTACAGGATTACAGAGGCACTTCTCAAGGCTGATAGAAAAGTACTTTTCAAAGGATCAAATGGGTCAGTAAATGCCAGCTTCTTCACATTAACTCTGTCGCTTGGTGCCCTTTTTAGGAGATTGAATTTTAGGATGCCATGACACATAGTGATACCATTATATAGTTCTCTTGTATTTCAACGGGAAAAAAAAAATTGTTTGGGAGGTTCAATCAATAAACCAGCTTTTTATTTTTTTCCGACTAAGGAAAGTTCTCGGGGTAAGGATGAGAGTCGTAAAACAGACAACTTAACCAAAACAACAGACGGGTTTTGCGGGAATCTTAAGGTTAGGCGATCGGCGAGTAAAATCGCCTGGTGTGTCGCCGGCTTTAAGCACCAGGGAAAAATTTACGACAATTCAGTTGGAGAAAATTGCAGAACAAGATGTAATTTCTAAATTTAAAGGCTGATTGTTATGTAAACAACTATGCTCTAACAGTTGAGTTACAGGTGGATCAGGCTATTACAGTTTTCTATTTTTTCGTCGTTTGTTAGGAAGATGTTTTCAATTTCTGAATGTATTGATGACATGGAAGCGTATTCACAGCTAAGTGATCACGTGTATTACCAGATCCTTAACTCGAGCGATCCTGCGCTGGAAGAGGTGATTATCAACAGGAAGGCTTTCTAGGCATAACGTTCGTTATCGGTTTCATTATTTTTAAAACACCTGTTCTTTAAGCGATCGAAACTTCCAAGGATTAGGTGAAAGATTACTGACATCGGAAATGATTTCTTCCTTCCAGTTGTAGTTTGCCGAAAACTGGAGTCTAAACTACGCAGTTTTATTCCATGGGGAGGGGGGAAGGAAGTGTTAATTCTTACCTCCAGCGTTTTTGTGTCGTTTCATTGTTTTGTTTCTTCGCTTGTTTTTCAAGGCTCGTAAAATTTTGCTCCGAATACAGCGCCGAGACCTTTACAAATGTATCGGCCACTCCATTTTCCGCGAACGTCGAGATGAAGTAAGTTTATCTTGATTTCTTTTTTTTAGCGATGAAAACGAGAGACGTAATGCAACAAGTTTCACCTTGTTAAAATTAGTGTGAGAAATCAATAAAAATTGATTATCGACAATCAATCGATCAATCAATATCAAACACTGGAATGAAAGAAGTAATTGGACTTGCATGGGATGATCGATAATCAATCGGTAATCATTACTGCTGTAGATTGAATCCAAGGATGATGATTTTCGCTGATTAAAGTCAGGTGTGCTCGATATCACGTCGTTTCTATGTTTAATTTGATGTAGACTTGCGAAAAGTTATTGACCTTTCGAAATAAGAATCGATGATTCTAGAGAACCAATCCTGAAAATGTACAGCAATCGATAAAAATCGACGGTAGCAGTCAAATCATGATGACAGTTACAGGAATTTCCCTTGTCCATAAATCATTGATTTGTAGCTTGCGACATCGATGAATTGTTGTCGATTTTAATAAATTGATATCAATTAATTTCGTTGCCTAGCGTTATCATCGATAGGCCAGGCTGAGGAAGAAGATGAAAATTGATAGAGTAGTGGATGATTTTTGATGAAGGAACTGGTATTCGAAACGTTGTGAATTCTGAGCTCGGTAAGGAATAGGGGGAAAATTTCTTTTTCCCTTACGCGAAGGTGAGACACACAAAAAAAATGGCGTGGCTCACAGTAGAGTCTCTTTGGTTTAGTGATAAAGCGTTGGAGCGCGGAATCCGAAGGTCTGAGGTTCAATTCCTCACGAGGAATTTTCTTTGTCCCATGCTCGTGGAAAACACTAAAAAAAAACCATCTTTCTCTAACAGTTGTTTTAATTTTTATCGGTCAGAAGGAGATTCCAGACATACAGCTAGATATAGCTGGTTATATTGAAGACGGCCCTAAACTCGACCCAGAAGACTTTATAATTGACGTAAGTATGGCGATGGAATGTGTTCTTTTATTACATGAGTCAGATTAGCACCCGCCTGACTGTCGCGTGGACAGTCTGACGTCTTTTTCTCTCTTGATGCAACTTAACTGGGAGTCAGTTTTTTAATGGTGGACAATTTAATCAAGGCTTCTTTTTTTGAAAATCACTCGTACTCACTTTTGTAATCGAGGTTCAATGCTTAGCATGGTAAACTTTTTGCAAAAAAAGAAATAGGAAATGGGTGAGAACGTAGTAGCTTTTTTCCATTCCATAGAAGGGCACTTAAAATTCCACCGAAACTGGTGTTCATGTTTAACAAGAGCAGAACCTTTGTTTCGAAGAATCCAATTTTGTAGGTCTCCCGTTGGAGAAGCAACTCTCAGGGCAAAACGACTTTTCTTTTCCCAGATGGTCACTTTTGACTATGGAATGAAAGACAGAAATCCAATTGATGAGGTGCGGTTTTACGGCAAGAGCAACCCAGATAAACCTCTGTTTTTTAGAAAGGATGAGGTATGTTGTTGTTTTTCGATTTAAGTGGATGTTTATGTGGTAAAATTCCGTACACATGAAGATGGCGCTTAGTGGATCTCGCTTAATTGTTCACGGATATCGGAAGGCAAGCACTTTACGTACCACAATATGATAGTGCTCAAAAGCTTTTGTTTGATTAAGTAAGTAAACCTAATGTGTTTAGCCCAGATGGACTAATTGGGGACACCAATAAAATAGCAATACTAATTAACATTTGGTACCTATATTATATAGTATTATATTATACTTATATATATATGATACTTATTAACATATGGTACTTATTCTATTGGTTACAAAGATTACAGCAATTGCTGTTGATGGTTAAAATGTCTGCAAGATCCAATTTTCTTATTTTTAATAAAAACGGGTAAACTAGGAGAAGTCGTTTGATTTACGGTAAGTTTTGACCATAAGAATATTCACACACTGGGGTTTTATTCATAGATTAAGAAGTTAAATCAACCTTTAGTTGTGCAATAATGCGCATTTTCTATTGATTTTGCTTTGTAGTAACCCTCTTTAGACGAGGGGTGTTAATTTTTGCTATTAAAGTCGAAATTCTTGTGCTAGCGCTGCAAAATTTACTGCATGTAAAGAAAGTGTGAGGTAGCTTTCACCCAGTTGTTCACGTATATTAGAATTACACATAGTGAGCGCCGAATAGCACCGGATACTAATCCAACTTTCTCTTTATAAGGTTAGCAACATGCTTCCTGAAATGTTTGCAGAGCAGCATATCCGAGTATATTTTCGCAAGAATGACCCTAAACTCCTAGAGAAGGCACAACGGTGAGTTCGTAGAGTTTTTATCGTAATCGACTGCTACTGATTAATGACACAAGAAGTACCGTAGACAGCCTCTTCCTTGCCTCTCCGTTCGACTAATTGGTATTGCTATATTTTTCTGATTTAATTTTCAGATGCTTCCTCCGCTGGTGTGGTAGGCAGAAGTGTACCACGCCAAAGGTATGAACCTCAACACGTTAATTTCAGGGAAGAGGTTGGGGAAGGGGAGGAGCGCATATTCCAGAATTTCACGATATATACATATCATCCGGAAATTCGCGCACGTGCATCAACATTTTATCGTGCATTGTAGTAGCATTTAGTTGTAAAACAAGTTTCCACTAGTAGTATGTTTCATTTGACCTTCTGCCACAAAACCCTAATTTTACTGTCCCCAATGTCACTATCTAATAACTTCCCTCTTTCTCAAAGTTTTAAACTCTCTAATGTTATTGTGCTGTATTTGTTGCTAGGGAGGGGATGCTCTGGCGGAATTGACACCTATGAAGTCCGCACAACAGGGTGGCCCTAGCAACATGGAGAGACGGCTCAGCTATCAAGAATAAGGGCTGATTTTAGTTTTTGATAATTTTACTGGCGAAAAAAATGAAGGAAGTTATTAGATCTATTCAATTCCAGTTTACAACTTCTTTTAAAGCCTTTTTGATATATTTTTTAATTAAGAAAAAAATTATATGTTACCGTGTAGTGGGTATGTTGTTCGCGCCAATCAGATCGCCACGTTAGGGTATGTATTGCACCAAACAGATTGCCGCATTAGGGTATGTATCTCGCACCAATCATATCACAGCATTTGGATATCATGCCCCAATCACAGCCTTTGGGTATTGTTTTCTTGTAAATGATGTCATGGAAACAGAGGGCTGTGCACAAAGAGTGGCATTAACAAGAAATTTGGGCTCATTTGATAAGTGTTATGATTGTGGCCTTTGCAAGAGCCTCGTCGAGTAAAGTCGAGATTTATCAGAATATGAAAGGGTCGCATTTATTTTTATTGTCATTTTAAAGTTAAAACGTGTTTTTCCGCTCCTTTTCTCACAACGTACACGCGAAACAACTTTCCATCACGTACTGTGAAAACAACGCCCAAAGTCCAATCAGAACATACCCAATTATTGCACTTCATGAACGTAAGGTAATTTTTCACGTGCTTGAAGGACCTGCATTTTATCATGTATTCTACCCGAATTATCCAACACCACTGTAAAAATTTCACAGTAAACTTTGTGCTACTGATAGTGAATTTTTCACGCATTCTCCCGCGTTTTGACTTTTCAACGAAATTCGCTTTAGCTACCTATGAATTAACCCATTCGCTTGTTAAACCTGCATTTTATTACGTATTTCACACACGGGGCAGAATCCAGATAGGCAGCAACCAATCAAGGAGTCCTCTTTGAAATATTATCCTTTTCTCTTGCTTAGTGTATCTTCCCCTCCACAAGATCACAATGTCTTTGGTTAGGGTCTATTGGAGATATGACAGTTTTAGTTTGCTTTTCGCAGTTAAATTACGTGGAATTATATTTTTTAGGCGACTAACTGTAGACGAATAATTTTGATTTTCTTTCCGTTTGAGGAACGGCTGTAAGCGTAGTCTCTTTTGCAACCGTTATTTGGTCTCGTCACACCATGGCTCTCTCTCCAACGTGGAATAGAGAAGACCAAACAACGGCTGCGAAGGAGACTGCAGTAAGCGTGGTATCCATGCATTTTATTTTTGTTCAGATGTATTTAGACAGAGACAATACACCAAAAAATACCTGAGTTTACATAAATGATGTTTTTTCTCTTCCTCTTGAAGTGAAGTAATGCGATATTTTCGTTCTTTTTGGAGTTATGAAAATATTAGGAATGCGAAGTGTCCCCCCTCGACCTACCCAGCCGAAAAAAAATAACCCTTTTTATGGCACGCATGCTTATGTTTTAGTTTTCATATTGAGTAACACTTTCCTGGAATTCTCTGGCCGCAAGAGAAAGTATCCAAGAGAAGTCTCGAGATGAATTTTATACGTTTAATAAACACAACTGAGGTTACGAGGTCTTCGCAGGTTCGCGAGTGAAGGTTAAGAGAACTGACAACGCTTCGGTATTACGGAATTATTGGGAGTGTGTTTCCGGACACGTTTACGTACTTTTGTAGTCAAAGCTTAGATTGCACGATTGCGTAATGTGAGTCCCAGTCCCCGACAACACAGAACCAGATTTCTAAATCCGGCAACAGCTTAAAATCCTTACAGACCCGTTGGTCCGTTTTTTTTTTCAACTTTTGCGGTATTTCCTCACGTCTAGCCTTGGAGTAGAGTTAATAAACAAATGCTTCACACGACTTTTGGAGAGGTTGTGTGAGAAGTGGCTCCTCACCCAGGCCAGCAAGTTGTTGTTGTTGAGCTTCACTATCTTCGACGAAGACCTTCCTAGCTTTCTTCTTACCAATACCAGAAAATGCACTTTTTGTGTCACATCCTGTCAATGCATGGTAGGCTGGTAAGGACCTGGAATTGAGAGGACCAAGGCTGATTGAAGATAGTGAATGGGAATAAATCTAGCCCCATCCTTGACTCTTGTTTTAAGCCACAGCTCTTCATATTTGACACTCAGGAAATGAGCTATACAAAAGTCTTCAAGGTTTGTGTCGGGCGACTGAATGATAATTCTCTGATAGGTGTTGGCTGCATGTTTGGCATGAAGTAGAAGTTGAGTATCTGCTTCTTCAAGATCAGAATATAACGAAGGCACAATGACGGAATATCCACGACCGATTAAAAAAAAGCCTCTCTAGCATCTGAATCCTCATTCCACTCTTGTTGGTGTGGTTATAGTTAATTTACTACGTCGTCCTTATTGGTCATCCCAACTAGGCCTCCTTTAGATTTCGTGTTACAGGTGATGGATTGCTCAAGTGCCATGTCTGACTGTACTTAACAGAAAGGTTGTTGTAAACGACTTGATTGCCAGCTTTGGACTCTCCATATATTTGTGGGTGGTTCTCTTGCAATGAGTACATGTCTGCGATGTATACCGGGAGTCACCTTGCGTAATTGACACGATCCATATCGTAGAAATATGGAACTAACGCCGCACTGGGTGACAGGGGGTAACTCTCAGTCCCCGGTTCGCTCAGCTTTGATGAATTGAAGTAGAGTCATTACCACTGACAAGTACTGGTCCCAGAAGGCAAAAAGGTTGGACTTAGCCCGTGCTTCGCTTCTGAATTCCCCCACAAGGGTAATCAGGGAATTCGGTCCATCCCTTACAGGTTGCCAGTTGTCTTGAGGGCCTCCTTCTGTTTCGTGGCACTTTTGGATGAGCTCAAGTACCTCGTCCTTTGAGGCATCTTGAAAGCAAGATTTTTTTCTTTCCAGCCAACTGATAAATGCCCTCCACAGAAGACGAAACAGTGCCGCGAGACAGAGCTTGTGGGCACTTACTCCACGGTTATACGACTTTCCTCCCATCGATGCATTTATGGTGTCAGCAGCATATAATACAGAGTCAATCAGTAGATCTTCTAAACAAGAACTGGTGTAGAACTTCCCAAGGAGCGACAGATAATTCAATGCTATATGAAATCCTCCCAAGTGGACTACAACCTTCTTGAATTCCTATGGATACCTTAGTTGCAGCTGTTTTCTTTTGGTGTAAATTGTCAAGTCAAAAGTTACCGCTGAATTAGGCTGTCCAAGAGTATTTGCTATGTCTGAGGAAAGCTTCATTACTGTATTTATCGTGCTGTAATCATTTGCATTTGCTTGGATCTTAGGGCAGTAGCCAATAGCTGTAGGAGGTGATGTTTCAATGAATTTAAGTGAATGGAATCCACTCCATCCAGGAATCTTTTGATGAGTTACGGGTTGATGGTTAACATCCAAAAGGCTGTCTGCATTCAAGTGCAAAAGAAGCCATGCGATGTCATCGCTAACATTAAAAAGAAAACTATCAAAGTAGGTTGTCACTGGCGGTCGTCTTCCTCCAATTCCGATCTCTTGCACCATCACCAGAAGGCCTTGATATATCCAAAGATCTTCTTTTTTGAATATGATCACCAAATATTCGCGCTTCTGTGAATGGTCCATACTGTTTCCTCCGGAAAACAACTATGGTGGTTGAATGAGTGGTATTTTTACTGTCTTCACAGAAATCGTTGTTTTCAGCTGCCATAGGGATAAGCATACCTATTAATGAAACAAAGCATACACCATTCAGTAGCGTAATATTAAGTTATTTATAATATACCCAAGCATCTACATACCTGGTGTTATGTTTGATGGAATGATTGTTTCTCCTGTCAGCTCTGCTCTTGCGATCGTTTAAGTCACAGCTCTTCACATTCGTGTAGGTCAAGCTCTCTTCCTTGTACTGAGGTATGTGGTTGTATGGCAGCGGAGTCCTGCTTAAATCCATGGAATAATGATGTTTAAATGGACAGCTCGGACTCCTTCAGTGATTCAGAAATTGATGACTTTGTTGACATCCGAACATTTTCTTACTGAAAAAACTGAGAGCATTAATTAAAGCCTTTTCCTCCTTTTCAGCCTCGTTTTCACGTAAGACCTGGATAGCTCGATAGAACGGTTTATGGATGCTCAAGCAAATAAGTTGTAGATTTATTACATATATTTTCTTACAACCAAACTGCAATGAAATACCGGTTTTTAAAAGATGTTTTAGGTGCAGTCTCGTTTTCATGCAGACCAACGAAAATCATGGTGCCTGGTTTGTACAGACTAGAGGCTATTTTTTAGTTGTGATTTGCGTGACGTTCAATACCCTTATGTTTTGCTTTGTGTGACATACCCTCGAATCGTCGGCATTAGGTTTCATTCGGCCACGAGACACGTATATGTCGCAAGCATAGCCAGATCGAGGGATTGTCGAAATACTAGAACAATAGAACGGGGAAAGAGGTATGTCATCTCATTTGTTTTTGTATTTAAAAACCGAAACGTGTATAATCAAGGTAGTTTTGTTTCACTTGAGATGTTTGGGTTGTTTTGATTTATCTATATACACGCCCCGCGTGTTCGAGTTTAGAACATTTCGATTAGCGTTTATTGTATGGTAATGGCCTATTTTAATTTATTTTATTTCAGTTTTTGCGAACTTTCCAGTGATTAATAAACCAGTTGAGACTGATGGACGCTTGGAGGTTCCGTAAAGATGAGACATTTCCACGACGCGGCGTTGTTCAAGTTTGATTTGATTTATGTCAGCGTCCGCGCCATTATACTAGATATTTAATTTGTTTTGTTCTTGAGCGATTTTTTTTTCTTCTTCTAAGATATAGCTGATGGACTAACCCTGCTGAAGAACACATAATGAGTATGTGTAAGATAAACGTGATCGAGTTTTTTCTGAGAAGTAAATGACATTTGATCGTAGAAGGATAAAAGACAGATTTCATATTTGATAAGGTCACGTGACGGATCACACGATATCGAGAATGCCCTTTTTTTGGCTTTTTTCAAAAGGTCTTAATAAGCACTCTCATGTCTGACAATTTGTTGAGTTTTGGTTGATAACAGACGATTTTAAAGGCCATTTTTGAACAGAGCCTCGCTATTGTGGCCAGAGCCAGGTTGAGGTAATTAATTCCCGATATCTTCTTCCCTGACCACAAATCAATTGTACAAAGAACCTGACATTAAAGAGCAGTCATTGCTCTATAAGAATGTGGCATCGAACCTTTTCTGAGTGGTGGGTTGTGCATTTTGCCATTTTTCGGGACTCTGCTCCTAGACAAATTCATATGTACCTGCATTTTTTTAGCTGAAGAATTACCCATGTAACTGGTCACAAAGTAAAAAATAAACCCTCGTTTCGGTTTCCTTTTTTCATTATTTATTTTCTACTTTAATTTTTATTCTTTTTTTCTCAACTGAAGGGAATAACAAGCTGAAAAATCTATCAGTTTGTGGTCGCTCCCTGTTATCCAGGCTATTCAACCCCCCCCCCCCCCTGCCCTTCCCTCCCCCTCGTCGTTGACTAAGAGGTGCTGCCTCATTCAGTTCATTGAGACTGTCGGTAAGAGAGAAATACAAATAGGACATTTGTTCAACTCCAGAGCGATCCCTTGAAAAATAATTAAAGTGTGGCATCACAAGGTCGCGAAATTTGGGAAGACATATGTTACGGGCTGTAAATATCGCCGAATTTGCACAGTTATATTTTCGTTAGTAGCCAATAACGAACCGGAACATTCATTAGAAGCGTTGTAGTTGGCACCATGACATCTATGCAATGTAAACTTGTGGAAAGAGGATCCAGAGAACTGGTCTTAGAGCTAAACAACATAGCAGTACCCTTATCAGGGTTGATTGATAAGAGCCTAACATCGGTATTCATATTCTCCTTACTTTTCTCTGTTTATTTTCTAAGGTGCTGACAAAGAGAATTTGTTTAACAATCAAGAGCTGCTTTAGTCCGAGGTCATCTCCTTTATTCTCATGGCCTTAATGTGTGATTTAGTGGAACTTTGAACTTTATCCTGAAGGAATTTTAGGGTAATTCATGATTTATTCTTCTTTTCTAAATATTTTAAGAATATACATGATTTAGATATTTTTGACTATATATATGTTTCGTTTCGCTCTTGTATCAAGTCTTTGAGAAATATTGATTATTGAACACTTGATGTCCCTTTTAGTCGCTCAGAAACTTTTAAGAATTCATTTTTACTAGGGTTTGTCGCGCATGGAACGAAGAAGAAACGCGAGAAATTGTTTAATTATTTTATTTCAATGCGTTTTTTTATCTTAATGATCTTATTTCTGTTATAATTTTAGAATAGTTTT